AACAAATATTTGTTTCCAAAACAAAGAAAGAGCACAGGACAGAGACACCTCCTCTAGAGACCAGGGTGCAAAGAGAAGACAAGAGTACGTGGTGCTCATTAAGTGTGAGGTGAGAACCATGCAGCCAAGCAGGGGCCCAGGGAGGATTTGGAAACGTTATCAAATATGTAGGGAGGGTCTAAATTTCAGTCACTGATTTGAAAGCTATACACAGTGTGTCCAATGCAGTCACAGAAATACAGGGGTCCCTTGAGTGCCCAGGTCACCTTGGGTGTTGACAGCTTCTCACAGAAGACATGAGAGTCTGACTCCAGAGTTTTTATCACGTGGGGAGAAGCAGGAAGAATGACGGTGAAGGGGAAAACACAATATTCAGAAAAGTTAAACTGTTATCTCTTTGGAACTGGCATGAGCCTGCTAATAAGCAGCCAGGGAAAAACAAAGAGGTAAATAAAGAGAACCGGGAACGCTGTGGTATAATATTTGAATGTGGCAAAGGGGAAACCATAAAGACCATTTTGTTTTAATCATTAAGAAAAGTGCACCTAGTTCACATGCTATGGATCAGGCTCGGGGCGGCGGGGGGAAGACAAATTAATCTAAGGCTATTCATTTTGTGATAGCTTAACGCAAACAACTTTTAGCAACATTATGAAGCCAGCTAGTAAAATAAATAGAAATGAAGTCCAAGGGATTTAAAGATGAAAAATTTGGGGGGTGGGGAGAAAGAACTGCACAAAGCAAATCGGACAAAATACAAGGCTAACCAAACAAAAGCTGAATCATATAAATAGGCATTGCCCTGTGCCCTGGAGGACTGCCAAGGAGAGTGAATTTCAACAAAGAATGCTTCTGCTACCAGTCTGGAAAACTTCAGTTCCAGGAAGGTGGGAGGGAGGCTGCAGCCATTGCTGAATGACACGGGGAGTGTGGGGCGGGGAGGCAGGCTCCGTAGACAAATGCTGGAACCTTCCCCTAGCAAGCCATGAACAGGCAGCTCACTCCCTCTCCATGCCCTCCCATGTACCCCACACACAGCCAGTTATGAAAAAAAGCCCACGTCTTAGATGAGAAATTGGCAACAAGGGCAGCGGCCTTCTCTTCTCCATTTGCAGATCAAAAGACCACTGTAAACACCCCTAGGCTACCATGCTAGTATCCAAAGGGTTGAGATGAACCCAGTCCCTGCAGCCCAAGTCAAACGAGGCCTTGGCAATTATCTGTGAACTTGGATGCTGGGGACAGAGCCCCGGGCTCGGTGTGGAATCCTCCCTGGAATAGTCCGAGTCCTAAGAGCAGTACTGTAACCCTCGCAGTGATAACCGTCACCACCACCAGAACAGTCCCCGCTGCCTAAGCATTTATCCCATGGCAGGCACAGAACTAGGCCCTTTGCATGGATTATCCCTGTGAAGCCCCCTCTCAGCCCTTATTTTCTTAATTTTATAGCTGTTCTCTCTACAGATAAGGAAACCAAGGCAAGTTAAGATACTGATACTTTTCAAAGGTCTCACAGCCAACAAGCAAGGGAGCAGGGATTTAGATCCACAGTTATTCCCAGACAAGCTCTCTTAACCAATAAAAATAAAACCCAGTAAAAGAAGGTGGATAATCAACAAGCACTTATTAATGGTGGGCACGGTGTGTACTATGAACTCTGCTAGGTTAAAATGGTTTCTTTAAAAAAAAAAAAAAAAGGAAGACTAACTAGAATTCCTTTTACTTAATCTGTAAAAAAAATTCTTGAACTTTATTAGCCTTCAAAGAAAAAAGGGTCCCTACTCTAATATCTACCACAAGGCTCCAATATGTATGTAGGTTGCTCAAACCCCTACAGAAACTAACAAAACAAACCAAAAGGAGAGTTCATAACATCTAGCTCAGTGGCTTTTTTGGGATTGGCATTACCCAAAATACAGACTTAGCGCCAAACACTGGGAGACCTGCGAATCTGAAGTTCCTTAAGATTTCCTTAGCATTAGTAATGCTTTCTCCTCAAATTTCTGTATTGCTGTCTTTATCGAGATCTCTGTACATTAATATGTGCTTTTAAAAAAATATGACCTATCTTTCCAATGGGACTGAGGGGGAAAAATCACAAATGCATATTTAAACCCATAGAATATTTAAATTCTCCCAAATCTTATCATACATTTTTAGTACTTTCTTTTTGAGATGAAAGATAAAAACGTGTGTGCATGATTAATTGTCATGATGAAAGAATACTGGGCAGTTGCTTAAGAAACGAGAACAACAAAGGAATAAACTACTGCAGGCATCACCAGGACTGGAATGACACTGCTCTGTGTACTCGATTTCCATGGCAACTAGCAATGGGAAGATGAACGTTTCGTAGCCACTCCGCTCTGCGGTACACGTCTATAAATCAAGCTTACATAAAGAGCACAAGATCTCTGCTGTGGGCTGTGTGCAGAGCCGCTTTATTTTCCTGTTACTGTATAATTATGGAAAAGCAGCACAGAGCAATGAGGCCATCTTGAGTGGGGAACAAACTCAGAAATTACTAATACACCTGAGGCATAGAATGCCATTCGTCTCGCAGGAAACCAGACGCAGGCAAGGCAGACGGCGAATGGAAACCCTGCCTGCCTCTGTCAGGTATGGTCCTGGCACTCATCTGCTCTGGCTGAGAACTGCATGTTGCGTACCTGGCGTGGGCTCCCTCCCGCTGCTCTGCTCTGAGATGTATGTAGGGGCACCTTAGTTAACTGCCTCCCGAATGAAACTGCAAGGTTTCATTCTGATAAACTGGGCAGAAATGATACACCATGCTTCGTATGAAAGTTTACTGAGGCTGAGCAAGCATACACTTGTTTTTACTTACACCCAGAATGGCTCGTCTTGTAGAAGTCAGGATGGAAAATTAATGCTTTGGCATTGAATTGGGAGTCAGAAGGCCCAAGTCTTGACTCTGGTCTATGTAACCTTGGGTAAGCCATGAAGTTCAGGTAGCTTCCATTTTCTTAGCTATGTTACGAGAGACGGTGATGTGATTTTTAGTCTCTGCCGCCATCTGCTTCCATGATTCTGTATCTTGAAAACCCAAAGGTCTGAATCAATCAGATCTAACCAAAGATATTAGTTGTGCTATTCCTAAAAAAAAAATATAAATATATATATATATATACCTTACACAGTTATACTTTTAAATTCTATACTGGCTAAAGTGCCTAAGTCATAGTGTTTTATGATTACCATTGCATTGAAGCTTTCTTCTGATTTGTTTCAATTTTTCAAACACAGTATATGCTCTGGAAAACTTAATGAAACCATCAGAGTTTTTTTTTTTTTTTGCGGTACGCGGGCCTCTCACTGTTGTGGCCTCTCCCGTTGCGGTGCACAGGCTCCGGACGCGCAGGCTCTGCGGCCATGGCTCACGGGCCCAGCCGCTCCGCAGCATGTGGGATCTTCCCGGACCGGGGCATGAACCTGCATCCCCTGCATTGGCAGGCGAACTCTCAACCACTGAGCTACCAGGGAAGCCCAACCATCAGAGTTTTAAATGCAAAAAAAAAAAAAAAAAAAAAATTGTTACAGATGATCCTAGAACTGATTTTTATGATATAATATAAACAATATTTAAATTTAAATAATCTTCCTGTTACCTAGATAAGGGCTGCCTATCAATTCCTACCAAATGGGAAGCATCCCGCTTCTTTTCTTCTTATAATTAATTTATTTTTTATTATTTATTTATTTTTGGCTGTGTTGGGTCTTCGTTGCTGCATGCGGGCTTTCTCTAGTTGCGGCGAGCGGGGGCTACTCTTCGTTGCGGCGCGCGGGCTTCTCATTGCGGTGGCTTCTCTTGTTGCGGAGCACAGGCTTTAGGCACACAGACTTCAGCAGTTGTAGCATGCGGGCTCAGTAGTTGTGGCTCGCGGACTCTGGAGCACAGGCTCAGTAGTCGTGGCACACAGGCGTAGTTGCTCCGCGGCATGTGGGATCTTCCCGGACCAAGGCTCGAACCCGTGTCCCCTGCATTGGCAGGCGGATTCTTAACCACTGCGCCACCAGGGAAGCCCTGCGTCCTGCTCCTTGAAGTCTGCAGCTCTCAGAGACATGGTGAAGCTTTCCTGGACCTCATCTTTGGAAGAGTCATGCTCAGTAAATTTTGTGGAACAAATAAACGGATGGATGAACAAACTCTTAATAACACTTTTGCTACACCTTTCAGAAATCTTATATCCCCTTCCCTGATCTTACATGTTTAGGCAGATTCAGACCAACACATAAATATCCACTGGATAGACAGGCAAATATCTGAAAACCAGGTATAACTAGATGAGTATCTGTTTTGTGAGTCTGTGAGTCTACAAAACCCTTGTGAAACTTTACAAACTAGAAACAGCTCTTCATTAGTGGAGCACCAGGCGTGATGAGACACAGAGAGGACCTCCCGTGCTAAGGCCCTGGCTGAGTCCAGGAGTACCATGGGGGCTCAGAAGTAACGGAGTCACAGTCCCTGTCTCACGGGAGGGAAAACAACACCCAAAAGCACCCAGTACCTCATCTAAAGCCTACACCACCTCTGGGGAAAAGACGTCATTATCCCCGCTTTACAAGTTGGGAAAACTGAGCTACAGAGAACTGATATAAATGACAGTTATGAAAAATGTAGGGATATTCAAAACCTGACTTCCTGAATTGATAGGCAGCCCTTATCTAGGTAACAGGAAGATTATTTAAATTTAAAAATGTTATAAAAATCAGTTCTAGGATTATTTGTTTAAAATGGGTTTCTGTTTGTTTGTTCGTTTTATCGGGTTTTTTGCTTTTTTTTTTTTACTTTTTAAGACTGATAGTTTCATTAAGTTTTCCACAGCATATTCTATGTTTGGAAGATGGAAACAAATTAGAAGAAAGCTTCAGTGTGATGATAAAACCCTAAAACACTATTAATTAGGTGCTTTAGCCAGTACAGAATTTAAAAGTATAATTGTGTAAAGTATATATTTTTAAGAATAGCACAAGTAGGGGAATTCCCTGGTGGTCCAGCGGTTAGGACTCGGTGCTTTCACCTCTGGAACCCGGGCTCAATCCCTGGTCGGGAATTAAGATCCCGCAAGCAAGAATAGAACAAGTAACAACTTTGGTTAGATCTGACTGATAGATTCAGACCTTTGAGTTCCTGACTCCAAGACCTCTGTGCTCTTCTGATTGCATCTCAGGACACATTGAAGCAACAGACTGTTGCTCTACTGGACTTCTTGGGCACTAAAAAACAAAGTTAAACAAACACACCTAGCCCCTGAAAAGCCCATTAATAGTTAAAAAAAAAAAAAAAAGTAGTAATAATATAAAACAATATTTCTTAAATCTACTGTGCTAGCCCACGTTATGTCCCGCACTTCCACTCCCCAGTCAGCAGGTTAACGGCTATTTCCAGGATGGAGCCAAGTGTTACACAACCATGCAATTTCCGATACGTGAAACTTATGGGAGCCAATGACTTCTTTACAGAAGTTTATTAGAAATGTATTCTGCCGTCAGAGACACTTGGTTTGGTTCCTAAGCTTAGAAGATGCAGTAATTTGGGCACACATTTTTGGCACTGATTTTTCAAAAATTAATAAAGTAACATTTATTAAGAAAGCCTCCAGGTTAACCTCCTCGCCTTCCAATTAGTTTCGTATCAGAGTTTTTAGCACCACCAACTGGTTAAAGAGATCAACTACAAATCTGCTTGGCTCTCAATCTGCTTTGTTCATTAAAAGAGGATCATACATATATTTCACATTTAATTTATGTTAAAGTAATTTATTTCAGTCACTAAATAAAATTAGAAATGCCTTTCCTTGTTAGTCAAATAAAAAATAATCCACTTTGGCTTTTTCACTTAAAAAGAAGGTACATTTTGCTTAGTAAGTCATTAAAGAAAACTAAATCTACCCACTAAGGCTAATCTGATTTACTCTACCATAAACTCATACTCAAAAAGCAAAGACTAAGAACTACAATGAAAATTAGAAACTAAGAGAGCGATAGCAAACTAAATGGTATTGAACACTATGTGAGTCTACAGTGTCTATATAAGACATTAATTTAATTGGAAATAAAAATGATTGAGGAGGTAATTTCACATTTTTAAAAATTTGAGCTTTTTCTATCAAGATTCCTGACTTAGAGATGAATGCTGCCATGTGACACATGAATATTTACTGCCATTTATCTTTCCCTCCTGTTTAATTGAATCACATCTAGCAATGGATGGTGTACAGATTGGGGTTCAAATCTGATTTCTGTACAATGAATCAATTTGTGAAAATATGTATTCCTGAAGAACTAAGTCCAATTTTTTTCCCCAAAACAACCAATTTGTGGATACAAGTTGTCTTTGAAAAGTACATCCAGCACTTGTTGTCATGACACGTTTGTAACGGGCAGAATAAATGGCACCACACTATAACAAATTTGGTCACCAACAGAAACTTCTCTACTAGACAATGTACAAGAGGGAAAGAAAAAGAAGCTTCCATCCAATTTATTAAATTTGACTCTGATAGCAGAGTTCTGTTAAAAGCTTTCTGCTAAGAGTTTAAAACTGCTGTAATAATTTCACGATGATAGCAGTTTAAATCTCTACACAAATGGGTAGTCAAGTTCCTATTTTTTAAAGCCTGACTCTAAATCTGCAATTGAAAATCCAGTAAAGAAGATAATTTGCAACAGACCCAGGTAAAATTAAGGACCAGCAGCTGCCCTACCCCATTTAACACACAATTTCAACATGTGTACTTTGATCTTCATTCTATTCCTTTGCTCATTTATTTACTCATTCATTCTTTCACTCATAATCCATTGAATATTCTCTCTCCCGCAAAGACAGTTAAATTTCTGCAAAAAGGGAAACAAGAATAAGACTCTTCTACTGTCCCCTCCTCTCCTTGGATGCCAGCCTTGATATGCCGTCTCCAAGGCATAGAAGATTTCCATTTGAAATCATAAATGGATTACCAGGAACCTTAACAGTAAGAAGACTTGGGTTAAGAAAAGCATTTTATAACTTTTATTGTTGTTGCTATACATGTTCTTTAACATGACTCTTGAATGATACTTAAAGCTAAGTGTGTTTAGACATTTTAACTGTAAATTTTGTCTACTCTATTATTATTAGACAGCAGTATTCTTAAATCAAAAAATACAATTTTGAGATGTAGCAAAAACATCTGTCCATTAACAAGTACCAGCAACGTGACTGCCATCAAATTAAAAAAAAAAAAAAAAAGTTGATTACTTGTCAATTTCCTACGACTTTTCTTCTTTAACCAAAAGATAAAATGATTGAGAAGTCTAAGTCCAGTTTGGCTTGAGATTAGCAATAAAGGTGCTCAGCTTTACCTGTAGAATAGGTATGCATAACAGCTGATGTGTAGATCACTGCACCCATTCAGCAAGGTAATACTAGCAGGTGTTTAATGAATGGGAACTGCCGTCACTGGCACTGGGGTGGCACGGTGTCACAAAAGCTGGGAAGGAGCGAGCATCAAGGGCAGGGTCCCAGGCAGAGTGCTGAGTGCCTTGAGTAGCTGGCAAGAATAAACACTTAGAAAAAGGACAGGGAGGCGGCCTAGAGGAACTTAGGTACGAGGAGTAGCTTTCTAGGCTGCGGAGACTGAAGTTTATCTGCAGGCAGGGATGTTAGTTATAAACAGGAGAGGGAGTGACTGATGGAGAAAGGTCTAAGAAGAAGAGAAGGGGATGAGACAAGAATAAATGGGAGGAACTGGAAAAAAGCAAAAAACTAGAAACAGAATTGAAGGAAAACAGAACTCTGGAGGTGAAGAGGAAACCCAGGCAGAGGCCATGACCCTGTCCATGAAGCAGAAGGCAAGGTCACCTGCAATGCACAGCAGTAGGAAAGGTTTGGTACAAATGTGACAGAGAGCAAGTCAGTCTCATGGTGTGTGACAAGCTAGTGAACTGGCTTGGGGTGTTACACCAAGAAGAATTCTGAGTCTCATCAGAAGAGTGTAGGCCACGGGTATAAGGAGGTGACGGTGACAGCACACATGCCAACGATCTGCCATCCCTGAAAAAGGGAATTGAAAAGAGATGAGCTAAATCCTCCTGGATGATTTCAGCACGAAAAGGAAAGCAATCTGGAATGACATAGGACCAGGGCTGGCGGACTGTGTACAGAAGATGGGTTTGGGTGGTCTGAACACTCTGGTCAAGTAGGCACAGCGTCTGCCTGACCTGAGAACTTGGTTCCATTCCGGGACAGGCAGCTGGGAGAATCAAGGCAGGCATCTGGGATCAAAGCAAAAGGATCCAGGAAGGTGGACACAGAACTCTGAGATCTTTCAGACATGACACTTGCTGGGAGACGGAGAGGGAGAGTATTGAGTGTGGTGTGTTTGAAGGAGACGGTGGATGCATCACAGAAAGAAGACAAAGGGAAAGCTCGCTCCAGGTCTCAGACTGGCGAGGAGCAGCTCCAAGGACTAGCGCACACTCAAGAGGCTGCAGTACAGGACTGCGGGCAGGTCAGAACCAAGGCGGGGGCCTTGGATGGAGGCTCAGCCCAAGGCTTGTGTTAGAAGTGAAGGTAAGGAGGGGAAAGCGGTGTCAGCATTCTTGGGGCTTAGTCGCAGCTGAAGAGAACAGAGGTAGGAGATGTGGAAGATACAGCAGGGGAAGAAGAAGAAAGATGGGGCCACATGAGGGTCCAGCAGCCATGTTTAGCCACTAGGAACCAGTCCTGAGATTGTACCATTCTTGGTCCTTTTGGGGGGAGGGAAGGGAAAGGTGAGTGACAGGCAGGAGGGAGGGACGGGAAAGTTATGGTTAACAGTATTAGTGCCTGTTCCACCTCTCCTGGGGTCAGCTTAGGAACAGGGAAAGGCAGGGGGAGGGAAAGCGTAGGAAGAAAGAGATGCCGCTCAAAGCCTGTAGTGCACTGAATTCCTACTTTGCCCTGATCTTCTCCAGCAGCAGGTTGCAACCAAGGAGGGAAGATGAGCAGACAATACTGACAAGCTGGAAACGGTAAAAGATGATGCTAAACTCACAACAACTGATCAAAAGGGTCTTACAAGTGAATCAATGTATAATCCTGCCTTGTAAAGAAGACAATCATAAATTCAGCTTAGCACTCCCACCCCAGCTAAAGTGATGAAACCTCATTTGTCAATTTTAAACATTTTTTGCTTTTCCAGTTGATTTGGCAAGATCTTTCACTATTGTGATATAATTCCAAAGGCAACACGCAAAACACAAGGGTTCCTATCAAAGTGACGTGATCTGGAATGCCTGCTACCGTTTCATGTAATAAAATGCTGCACCAGTTTCCTTTTGCACATTTTTGTAAATAGTTCCTTTCATTTATGTGCAGAAAATCAAATGAAATCTCAAATGTAACAATCCAAACCAAACCAATTCATATGAAGAGGGAAAAGCTATATAATTGTGCAACTGGTTTCCCAAGAACACTTCCAGGCAGAGCGAACATGCCTTACTTAGTCAGCTTTATGGCAGGCATTGTGGGGATGCAAAAGCATGCCTGGTTCCTACTCTCAGGACGTCCATACTGTTATAAGAAGTGAGAAGGTAATATTACAGTGATTAAGAGCACAAGCAAATCTTCGTTCCGTTACTCAGCAGGCAGCAGCATCAAGCAAGTCCTTTGACCTCTCCAAGCTTTGTCCTCATCTGTAAAATGGGGACAGACAGAGCCTAACCCAGGAGGTTCCTAAGAAGATTCCTTCAGACCAGGGTCCGGTACATAGTAAATACTCAGCAAATGTCAGTTGCCAGCGTTACTGTGGTTACTATTATTAGATGCAGTACTCTCGCAAGTGCTACAGAAGTTCTAAGGAAGAAAAAGGAAATTTTGTGAGCTGGAGTGATCAGGGAAGGCTCCCTAGAAGAGAGAGTTCAGCTAAGTTCAAAGGAATGGATACCAGTAGATATGTGGATGGGGAAGTCAGGAGAGGAGAAGAGAGGGCAGTGGAAGAGAAATGAGATAGGATCAGAACACAGCAAGTAAATCAGAATAGTGGATTAGAATCTTTGATCTGGGCAGGCCAGGTCTGTGTGTGGAGGGGCCTTGTATGTCAGGATAAGGAGTCTGGGTGTCATCTGGCAGGGGATGAAAGGTTACTGAAGTCAAGAGGTAACATTAAAAAGTAAGGCTAATTTACTCTCATTATCCAAAATTGAACGAGGAGGGTGGACCAGTGATTTTCAAACTTTAATAAGTGCATATGGATCACCCAGGGATCACATAAAACACATCTGATTCAGTATGTTTGGAGTGAGGCCTGAGATTAGGCATTGCTAATCACTGCTAACAAGTTCCCTAATGCTGATGCTGCTGGTCTCTGGAGCTCTGAATGACAAGGATGTATCTCTTCAAGGTAGCCTGATGGAAGAGAATGCATGGGTAGGAGGATGGTAGACAAGATGGCTAGACGTGAGGTCGCAAACTCATAGGTCGGTATGCCATACATAAAAACATAGCATTAGAAGCCTTTGGACTTGATTTTTTAAGCTATATCTAAGGGGGACAGCTGAAACTTTGTAGTGAAACTCTTAATGCTGAGCCTATTTTTTTTTTTTTTGGTGACATCTTAAAACAATGTTAATTTAATTATCTCCTATAAAATAAAAATTTCTTTTATTAAATACAAGTTTTTCTTATTTTATAAATACAACACACAGTATTATCAAAATCTTCACCCAGAAGTTAGCTATCTACTACAAAAGAAAAATGTAAGAAACAGATTCCTCTTTCTATAAAGGAAAATGGCATGAATACATGCATGATATGCGCCTATCACCAACTTCCAGGATGACTGAAAGCGTTAGCAACATTTGGCCATAAGAAAGAAACCATGGCAGGAGTTTCTTATGTGACAGTTGGATTAAAAGAAAAATAGTCCTCATGTTATTACAGCAAGAACAGTGTATTTTACCATATATGTAGATGAGGGATTGGAAACGTTGACCATAACACTTGTTATAGTGACATCTCAAAAACTAAACCCAGAGTTGGAGAGCTGTCAGCCCAGTAATTTTCTCTTGAGAGCAGTCTTTGTCACATCTGTATTCACATGGTGGTGGATTCTGAATATTATGTGGGATACGCAGAGAAAATCAAGGAGACTGCCATGCCACCCTCCATGATAGATAACCCCAACAGTCGGTTCTGGAACAAGAAGCACAAGCCCCTCATGTCTGAGATGAGGAGAGTGCAGGCCTGAGAGGTTTTGGTGAAAGTCTGCTCGCTACGTAAGCCATTCATTTACATAAAATTCAGTCACTTACTTGACACGTATAAAACTGTGCTACGGGAGTTCTGTACTCCCATAAATATCCCACTTGTGCCTGTTTATATTAAGCTCACGTTCTAAAACTAGAAATAATTGATGCATGCAAATACCTATGTATAAGCATACAGAAGAAAGATATTTATGACAGATTAGGAGTTTCAAGCTGAAGGAGGAGACAAGTTCCTTTTTGGGGTAGAGAGGGGTTGGGTAGGGTGTAGGGTAGGGCCAGCTTTCAAGATAAGAAATATTTTGTTAAAAGCTGGGCCTTGAAGGAGGAGTAGAATTGCATCTGGATGGGTTTAACCTCAGAAGAGACTACAAAATCTGGACATCTGGAATGTGAAAGAGATTAAATACTTCTTCCAAACAAATAGTACATCCTTGTTAACGGGAACTAATTAGCTTAACTGAAGAAACCAAAATAACATATTCTGTTTGAAAATCTACGTAATGAAGTCATTATTCTTCTCTACTTGTTTTCTGGTCCAGTTTCTGAGCTTCAACTCCTGCATCACCAATTCTAAAATTTATACCGGTAAAAAAAGACCATCCTCAAATGCAAGGATATAATTTTTGTTCATGGAGCAAAATCAGTCAAGAACCCTCTGAAAAACTGACATTTTCTTAAAATGATTAGCATATAATTATTTCTATAGCTGGATTTTTAAAGTACAGTTGTATTTAACATATTACATGTGAAAGTCCCCAGAGAGGAGAAATTCTGAGGTCAGTTTGAAAAGCTTACACATATTCATATTCCCCATTCAGTGATCACATGCAAGAAAATAAACAGAAATGGGAATCTCTGACAATAAAATTGTGAAACATAAAACACTGAAATAAAAACCACGGCATTATCATTGCAGGGAAGATACAAAAATTCACGAAATAAAAATTGGAAACTCAAGAAGTCTACCTATTTGGTCGCTACACTCACACACTAGGTACAGCTGGTAACAGCTATCTACCTATAGTTACAAAGAATCAGATACGATTTCTAGTCTCTTTTATACTTTTCTATACACAGAAGCATGTAGATACTTACAGATCAACAATCATATTCCCCAAAGTAGGTACTCACTATAATAACTGCGATCTTGGTGAGGTCTGATGCACAGAATAATGACTGGGAAACTTTCTCCAGTTAGAGACTGTCCAAGAAAATGATATGCAACAAGTTGGCTGCCAGCAGAAAGGAATTACAAGAAGCTAAAGAGCACAGTGAAGAATAACACTTCAAAAGAGACGCAAATGATTTGAAAAAATACATTCTATCTTATATCACTTTCCTTTGGGCTCCTTGGTTCTAAAAGACTCTTCCATTAACATGTTAATTCACATAACCCAAGCTCATGAGGCCCCTTTCCCCCACAATAGCTGGGATAAAAGGCATATGTGATCTTTCTATCAAGAGGGTACCCATCATTCCCTTTTAAAATTGCATTCTTAAGCCCCTACCCCACTAACACTCTGGCAATGAAAATATACTATCCAACAAGTCAAGATGCTCTTATTCTCAACAAATTTTTAATATTCCCAAAAGTAGAGTGAGATATTCTATGTTTTTGACCATCCCCATGTAACACGAAGAATGAGATTCTTAGACCAAAAATATCATACATCACTTTAAATGTCTCCAGTTGTGACTGGAGAGCATTTGGGTACGTCAGTATTTCCGCATTACATTACTATCAGGCAATCCACCTGCACTCACAGTCTTGGACACTGGCGGGCCTTCTGCACACCCATGTTTCAT